TATTGAACAAAGAGACAAAGATAGGATAAGCATTGATGATGAAGACTTTGGGGGCAATTGCATTGATGATGAAGACTCTGGGAAAGAGATAATATCTCCCCAAACTCTCTCTCTTGTCTCTCATTTTTCCTTCTCTCTCTCTCTCTCTCTCTCATTTTGCCGCCCCCTGTCTCCCTTCTCTTCCTCCTTCGGCCACCAGCAGAACAGCCCCCCCTTGGCTGCTATTTTTGCCGTCGTGGAACCACCACCACCAACCGGCGAGCGCCGTGACCGTTCCCTCGTCGTGCGCCGTCCGTCCGAGCCGTTTCCTCGCTGGTTCGCCTCCACCGCAAGCTAAAATCAGCCCCACAGAATCTGCTGAGCTGCTGTCCAGCCATTGTCGCCACCCCGTGTTGTTTTCAGACCGAGCCAAGTGTAGCCCTCACCTTCGCCGTCGAGCCCGTGTTGTCGGAATCGTTAACAGGTGAGTTAATGCTCTAATCCTTTGATTAGTACGTTAAACTTGGTTAGGATTAGTTTATATTAAGTTAATTAGGTGGTTAGTGATTAATGGTGATTAATTAGTTGATAGGTTATCAACTAGCGATAAGTTATCGGAAAGTTAGGCGATAAGCTATCGCTAAATAGGCGAGAAGTTATCAAAGTTTTGGTGATAAGCTATTGCCAACGCGATAGGCTATCAAGGAAATGACAATAAGCTATCGTTAAAGGGACGATAAGCTATCGGCAAAGGAAGATAAGCTATCGTTATTTGAGTGATAAGCTATTATCAATTAGGTGATAAGCTATCGATTAATTTAGTGATAAGTTATCGCCAAGGGACGATAAGCTATCACTAATTGATTGATAAGTTATCGCAATTAGGGCGATAAGTGGATTTTATATGGGTGTTTTCTGCTTGAGTTAAGTGTTGAATTATGTCTGTTTTATGCTGTTTAATGCCTGCTTTGCCCTGAGAAATAATTACCCTATGTAAAACCTTGTTATTTAATTTTTAAAAGGGTTTTTGTGGACATATAAATAGTAAACCCTGAGGTGTCGGGTTTATATGTCAAGTTTTATAAGTTAAATAGGGCAAGGATGTTTAAAAAGGGAAGCATGCAAAGTTTGACGGTTCAATTGTGTGTATGTGATCATGTGTGAATTTATTACTGCATTTTTAGGTATAAAAGTTGCAGTATTTTGATGTGTAAGCACAACCACATCTGCATTGGTTAAATGAGGAGAAATGAAATTAGCTTGAGTGGTTGAGGGGCTTGCGTGATCACATAATGAAAATCCATTACCCCCGTCCGAGTACAAGCATGCCTTAAATGGCCGTGATGAAATCCCCGTCTGAGTGGGGGCGTACCTTAAATGGCCGTGATGAAACCTCCGACGGAATTTCGAGCGTGCCCTGAGTGGCTGTGATCAATACTTAGTTAAATCAGAAAACCCCGGTGCGAGGACAGGTGTACCCTGAGCGGCCGTGATAGATGTCCGGTTATGCCGGAAGATCGCCAACCTGATGCGAATAACGCAGGTTGTGCCGTGGCCCTGTGAGGTCATAGTAATCGGAACATGCGTGAAAGAGTGTGGATGCATTGTGCCTGATTATGGGATGAAATTGTGAGGCACGGTATGGAACGGGCCAAAACGGTTTCACCTTATAATCGAGACTCGTGTAGATGCCTTGTGCATGAGAATAGTGTGTTCTGATTGTATCATATGCTTGTTGCATTGTGATTGCACATGATGGTTTATAATGTGCAGGGCGTGTGTGCCAAGGCAAGGTAAGAAAGCCTGCGATAGTTTAATGGCACGTTTGTTTATGCTGGGTTGGATAGCCTGCTTGTGTGTATAGTTAGGGCAAAGCAGGGGTTGCTTTGCTATTGATCTGCCGTCGATGTGTTGCTGAGTGTTTAGGTGTGCCCGAGGCGAGTTGACTTCCTAACCAAGGCTTAGGTCGTTAACTTACTGAAATTTATCTCACTCGTTATTGTTAACTATTTTTCAGGTGCTCAGGTATGAGTACGCGTTGCGTTCCGTGGGAACCGGCTGTTTTGACGGGGAACACCTTTTAAGGTTGTCCTCGTGGATAGAGGAGCTAGGTTAACCCCCTATCTTTTGTGATTATAATCGGGAAGGTCTATGTGGCATACTTGTAATATATTAATTTCCGATGTACTGCTGTTAATGTATGTATATATATTTGTTTCATGTTTTCCTGTCTGTCCCTGTTATTGTTGTCTGGAGATGTCGTGCTTCCGCATGTGCATAATTGAAAGTTAGAATGACTAAGTCAGCGACGCGTCTTGGGACGTCGTAATAACACGACCAAGGAAGGATGTTCGCGCGCTCGAGGGTTCGGGGCGTGACAATTTACCAATTTCATTTTTCCATCTTCTATCAACTTTCATTTGTCTTTCTTACAAATGCCATTAATTTATCAAGTTTCATTTGAATTTACCAATCTTTATCTGAGTGATTGATCAATTCGTTTTCAATAAAACCCCCGACTAATTTAGTGTGGTAAGCGTGACTTCCAAGATTTTTTAGTAAGAGATGCTGTGATTTGATAGATCAAACGTTTCCCCACTCAAACAAAGTCCTTGGGCGATAAGTTAAAAATAGAATGTTCTCTTAGAATCCCTTAGAATCTTAATCTGTACAGTCCAACACTGGTCTCAGTCAATGATATTTTATGGTACTTCTAGGCTGGAAATTGTTTGTTGTTAGTATGCTAACACGGCCTTTGGTTGACGGCGACATGCTGAGACTTAGATTTAGACTCATCTCCTTTTTCTTTGTCTATCAAGTTCTCTAGAAATTACTTCTCTATCGAAAGTTAAAATATTATCGAATTTTAGAATTATAAAAAAATTATGAACAAATCTAGTTGTCAATATTCGTAAGTCTTGAGTTGAGTTAAATAAATGTCAACTAACGTGAATTATAAAGTGGTTAGAGAGATTTAGGGGTTATTCATAGAGTTTTTTTGGGGTGAAATTTAGATTAAATTTTGAGAAGGAAATATAACAAGTCTAAGACGGACGAGAAATGTTGCCAAGAGAAAAAAAAATCGAGAGAATAGTATAGTCAATCGAGATTGTTAACCGTCGGGTTGGTCGCTCGCCATGTTGCCTCGAATTTTCGTTCTCGCCTGACCAAGCTTGGAGTGGTCCTCTTCATCCTTGCACGACATTCCGTTTGAGGTAAGTGGTTCAAGGTTCCAAAGTTTCTTATGCCAAGTTATCCATGAAGTGATCCTATCATCGAGAGTGTTTCATGATTTGCTACATCTGATTAGGCGCTTTCCACTCGGTGTCTTAAATACCATGTGTATTTAGATATATGTTATTCATTCGTGTGTTCACAATAGGATAGATTCCATCTATTTTGCATATTGGTTTGTCTTAGTAATTTTACCATTAGAAGAATAAAAATTACAAAGCATCACGTTAGAATAGGATTTTGCTTGACAACTCATATAGAAATTTAGAGCTTTCCATAAATGAATGCTCCGACGCATATTTGTCATCATTTAGATTATTATTACAATTTTCACATTGCACACATGCATGTCTTTTGTTTCTTTTTTCTTTTGGCCATCTTTGTGTTTCTTCTTTATTTTTTTATTTTTAAAATTTGTTGATCTTTGACCAATTCATAGTACCAATGTGACAAGAAAAAGGAAAAAAAAAATCAAATCTCTCTCTCTCACTCTCTCTTAATTTATTGATGAGTTCAAATCATTCAGTTTATTTGTTACTATTTTCACATTTGCACTGCTTTAAAGAAAAAAAATCAGTAGAAATTTAGGGTTTTCCATAAATAAGTGCTCCGACACGCATTTAGGATCAGTTAAGTTATGTATTTATCTTATTGCTATTTTCACAACGGCATTAAGGAAAAAAACAAATAAAAATCATGCGCATGCTTGGTCATTAATAAAGCATCTGCATAAATAAATAAAAAATAGAATCTCCAGGATTGCATATAGATTAAAAATGCCTATTTTTATCATTTAGAATAGAACTTTGTTAATACATAAAATATAAAAACCGCATCCGTAGCGTTAGATTTAGGCTTGCCCTACACATTGAATGCTTTAGCATACATTCTTTAAAAGATTTCATTATTTGCCTTGTCCATTGCACCTGCATGTTTGGTATGATTAATTCTCCCTATAGCACTAGTTCATTTTAAGATACTTATTTAGGCATTGCACCTGTTGCTTTGCTCGTAGGGGTCTTCTATCAATGCATTATAAAAAGGTCTTGTATTAATTTTGCCCGATACGGCTCAGGCTGTTTTTTATATTTGTTTAAATAATTTATCTGACTGCTATCGATTGCTTTATTTTACTGCTTGTGCATTTATGCATGAACACTTTAAATTTGCATGTTTAGATAAAAGATAAATAAAAGATTGCATGAAAGAATTTTTTCCTAAAAGAAAAGAGGTACCGGTAATAGGCCTTAGCTAAAACTACCGTTACAAAGTGTCCGAGTTTGAAATATCTGGTTCTCAAAGTTAAAGCAGATCCTGTACTTTACTTGACTCCTAACTAGCTTAGAGTAGGTTAGTGATAGTTCTAGTCTCATTTAAATTAATGATGTCGGAGAAATCAAGTTGTGGTCCGTAGGGTTCAAAACATAAGCGTCACTTCACAATGGCGAGATGAAAAATTCAATGCGGTCATTGGTGAATATATCATGTGACATATGGACGCGATATCTCTCGAAGTGGCGGCAAAATGTGACAATGTCTTGCCTGTGGTGGTGCATGCGCAAGAATCACTTGTGTTCGGACAAGCATGGCTTTATGAATCATATTTCCGTAGAGAATATGGAATTGGGAACGAACTTTCCACCTTAAAATTAACGCAAAATTTTTGTATGGCCTGGTTATGAAGCAGCCTAAAAATGTACATCTCTAGTGCAGCTATCTCATCACATCCCCTTCAAAGTATCACACTGAGGAGAAGAAGAAAACACACACGAGAAAGTGTTAACGCAATGGCTTTCACGCTCAAGAGTGAAGTCATCATCTTCCTTGCTCTAATTCTTGGCGCTTGGGCATGGCTTGCGGTGTCGGTCCGCATGTTGCGCGAGCCCACCGTTTCTGAGCAGCACGAGGAATGGATGACTGAATATGTTCGGACCTACGAGGACCCAAAGGAGAAGGCAAAACGCCAGGCGATTTTCGCCGAGAACATGCTGTTCATTGCAGATTTCAAGAAGTCCGGGAAACAGACTTTCGAGTTAGGTTTCAACCGATTCTCAGACTTGACCAACGAGGAGTTCGTGCGAAGCCATACGGGATACTTGGCACCCAAGCGACCAGAGCATGCCGAAATGATGTTGTTTAGACACCAAAATCTGGCCGGAGGTATTCCCGATAGCATCGACTGGGTACAGAAAGGTGTCGTAAACCAGGATAAGTATCAAGGCCAGTGTCGTAAGTACAAATGTTGTGAATGGTTCGACCTTTTCTTTTATATAGTAAACCTGTAGGTATTACACGGAATATATATACTTTTGGAAAACTTAAGCATACGTGTGACATAGAGCCTATTTAGTACAGCTTTCTTTAGGCAGCTACAGCTGTGAAAATGAGTGTTGCGTCTTTCATAATGTATTCCATAAACTCTCGACAGCTGCAATAGTTTATAGCAGCTGTTGGGAAGTTGCTTCACCCATCTTTGAGGTGCTATGGTTTGAAAAAATGTATAACAACACATCATAGCACAGCTACAGTACAACAAGAAAGCGATAACTACACCAAACAAAAGCTTAACATACTATAATAAAAAGTCAGACATCAATGGTAACACAATTACGGAAATAGTGCAATTTCACATGCTTATAATGTCAACAGCTATTATGTAGGATCCTGCTGGGCATTCTCAGTCGTAGCAGCAGTAGAAGGAATTGTGGGGATCACAAGCGGCAAACTACCGGCGCTCTCCGAGCAACAACTGATAGATTGTGATACCACAAGCTATGGCTGCAGAGGCGGTTCCCCTGACAATGCTTTCAAGTACATTGTCCAAAACCAAGGAATTGCATCCCAGGGTACCTACGCATACTATGATATGGATGGGACCTGCAACTCAACGAAAGCAGCAGAACGCGCGGCGCAGATCAAGGGTTTCGCCGATGTGCCGCCCGGTGAGGAGGAGCTCATGAAGGCAGTTGCGCAGCAGCCAGTTACGGTCGTAATTGCAGCTAGCGGGCGGGAGTTCCAAAGCTATAAATGCGGCGTGTTCAATGGGGATTGCGGCTCCCAGCTGGACCACGCTGTTGTCGTGGTTGGGTACGGGACTAGTGAGGACGGGACCGATTTCTGGAAGATCAGGAACTTGTGGGGCGAGGCATCGGGTGACATCTTCTTTATATGAGGATTCAGAGAGGCGGTGGTAGTTCTAAAGGAATGTGCGGACTCGCATCCAAAGCTTCTTATCCAATTGCTTGAGAATAATAATCAAAACATATATGCACAAAGCACAAGCTTCACGCGATTACGAGTTGCTGTTTGTGTTGCCTCTTCAATTATTGTGCCATTAGGCTAGAGTAATATCTATGGTATCCGTGGGATTACACCTTCGACCGGCGTGGATACACGAGCATTACATGGAAAAATTTCGGTTCTTAGGATTTGAGGTGCCATTCCGCAAAAACCCGACATTGGTATAAGAGTAAGCTTGATTGTCTTGGGTTCTTTGTTTGTATCCGTTTTGAGTAGGCACTCCATGTTTGCCACCTTGAAGAATAAAAAATGGCATGTTTTCAAAACGGTTTAACCTTTTGTACGATTCTCATATATCCCTTGGTGCCTGTTTTCGAGTTGCCCATTAAATCCTCTAATTTGGAGCTGCATTTGATTGCTTCTTCTTAGATTGTACTTGAGTTACCATTGGTTGGTTTGTTTGAGCTTGAACTTGGGTTCTTATTGTGGGTGCAGCCATTGAACTAATGCAAGGGCACATGATCCAAGACTAAAAAAGAGTTAAAAGAATGTAATCTTTGGGTGCCTTTGCTTGAGGAAAAGTGTTTTCCCAAAATTAATTTTTTCAACTTACACCCGTTTGGTTCGCCGAAAATGATTAATCAATCGAAAATACTTTCCGATTAAGGAAAATATTCATACATAAAATCAGGAAAGTGAATTCCTAAATTTTTTCGATAAAAAAAATCTCAAATCTAATAAGGTGAAAACACTTTTCGAAATTACTCATCTTAAAATTTTTAATATTTTTTGCTTTTCTTTTCTTTTTCTTTTTTTTTCTTCTTCTTCCTCCTCTGCTAGTCGTCGGGCCTTGGTAAGGGCCGGCGACCGACCACAGGCGTGGGTTAGCCTCGGGCAAGGTCAAGCTCGCCAGATCCCTGGGAGCTTGAGCCTTGCCATATCCCGATGAGTTGGACCTCGCCCAAGGTTAGCCAAGTCGGCTCTTGCCGATGGCCTGCCACGGCCATCGCTGAGGCTCGGTGATAGAGGGAGGAGGAAGAAGGAAATAGAAAATAAAAAAAAAGAAAAGAAAAAGAAAAAGTACTTAAAAATTCAAATTTTTTTTTGCTTGAGATAAAGTCATGAGATTGAAATCATTTTCCAAATGAAATCCAAACATCATAAAATGTTCTCGGTTACATGTCACCAAACAAAGGAAAACTAACAATTTTCCTAAAAATGATTTTCCAAAAAGTATTTTCCTTTATTATGAAATTTTCTCTCAAACAAATCCATCCTTAGTTTTAAGTCCAACTCCAGAATCACCATGATTAGAGTACAAAGGAAGGGATAAACTGACATCTTCCAAATTAGGGGGATTACTAACAGCACTAAGGAGGATATGGTTATAATTGAGAAAGAAAGGAGGTGAAACGACTTGTATGTAGGAAGGAAAGGATTACCATGATGTCTTCCAAATTAGGAGATGCAACAAGAGCCGACTCTTTCATTGAGCGTTTTAGTCTCCTATTGGCCTTTGCTTGTATTCTATTTTACATTGTACATGTTTACTAATCGATGTTGTAGCATGTTTCGATGAAGCCACAATGATTCCTTATCAGCTCGAATTGCATGCTCCATCCCTGTGATGGTGGCAAGGTGGTGTTGGGATGAGTTGAAATATGATGGCTGATAGCTACGCGCTCTCTCCCCTCCTAACATCTTACTATATTTTTGCCCTTCTTCTTATCTTATATTAGATTGAATTTTATAATTCAAAGCAATTTCTTTACTTTTAACTTCTACCTCGGGTGCTAATGGCAAAAAGAATTGATTGGATGAATCACCAGTTTCACGGGAAAAGTGCCAAAAAAGTCCTAAACTTTTTGCAATGGTACCAATTTAATCCTAAACCTTTTTTTGGTGCCAATTTAGTCCTAAACCTTTTGCATTGGTGCCAATTTAGTCCTAAACCTATTTTTTGTGCCAATTCAGTCCTAAATCTTTTGCATTTGTGCCAATTCAGTCCTAAACCTTTTGTCTTTGTGCCAATTTAGTCCTTTCGGCCAATTTTGGCCAAATTTTGCTAACGTGGACGCTGATCGGCCGGCGACCGGTCATCGGCGCTGACATGAACAACTTTAATAATATTTTAATATTTTTTTGAATTTTGATTTATTATTATTATTTTTTCCCCTCCCTTTCCTCTAGCCAGTCACCAGATCGGTAACCGGTCAGAGGTCGGCGTCGGCGAGGCTTGCCCAAGCCAGCCACTGGCGAGGGTGGCCTCACGCTGGGCGAGACCCGACCTCACCAGATTCGGTGAGGTAGTGCCTCGCCCAGCCGCCAGCGAAGCTCGCCCTTGCCAGCGACGGTGAAGGCGAGCCTCGCCATGGCTGGGCGAGGCCCGACCACGCCAAATCCAGCAAGGTCGTGCCTCGTCCAGCCGCCGGTGAGGCTCGACCTCGCCAGATCCGGCGAGGTTGGGCCTCGCCTAGCCATGGCGAGGCTCGAACCCTCGCCGTGGGGCCCGACCTCGTCGGATCTGGCAAGGTCAAGCCTCGATGGCGGCTAGGCGAGGCACGACCTCGCTGGATCTAGCAAGGTCGGGCCTCGCCCAGCCATGGCGAGGCTCGCCTTTGCCGTCGTTGGCGAGGGCGAGCCTCGCCCAGTCGCCGGAGAGGCCGCCCTCGCTAGTGGCCGACGAGGGTGAGTCTCGCCAGCGCTGGCCTCTGGCCTTTGGCCGGTCGCCGATCCGGCAACCAGCTGGAGGGAGGGGAGGGGAAAAAAGAAAAGAAAATAAAATAAAATTCAAAAAAATATTAAAATATTATTAAAGTTGTCCATGTCAGCGCCGGTGACCGGCCGCCGGCCGGTCAGCGTCCACGTTAGTAAAATCCGGCCAAAATTAGCCGGAATGACTGAATTGGCATAAAGACAAAAGATTTAGGACTGAATTGGTATCAATGCAAAAGGTTTAGGACTGAATTGGCACCAAAAAAAGGTTTAGAACTAAATTGGCACCAATGCAAAAGGTTTATGACTGAATTGGCATAAAAAAAAGATTTATGACTAAATTGACACCAATGTAAAAGGTCTAGGACTTTTTTGGTACTTTTCCCCCGGTTCCACACATTGTGAAAGGCAAGAGTATTTAAATAACACAGGTGAAAAGTTTGAGCGCCTAATTCGGTGATCTGCATAGGTCAAGTTGAAAGGACAAAAAACTAGAATTGTCCTAAAATTTTCAACGTCCAACTCCGGAATTACCATCACCAGCACCGAACTGGACCGATGTAGATTAATTCTCTAGCTCGACAGATTTTCCTCCAAATGGGGTGATATTTTACATTTTGAAATTCATCATATTTTGATTATATTGTTTGTCTCATTATCTCCTTCTGCTTCATGACATGAAAGTCAAAGCCCCCACAACAATCTTAAAACTGCACTCGTTGCTATGAATACGGGCACTCTCCTCGTGCTTGTTTCATCATCACAAAACTGCACCATCTTCTTTCCTCCAAACCCTTCACTCTTTCTCGAAGAAACTCGAGGACCATGCAGACAGATTCATCACCCTCTCTCCCTCCAAGAGAACCAAGAAACGCCCCCGCCCACCCACTCTCTCTCTCTCCTAGTAAAAAGCATTTGCAAACTCTGCCGTCAATGATTTAGTGCCGGCGAACAGAAATCGGCAAGATCGACGACCCGAACAAGCGCCGCATGATGTTCTGGAGGAGGTGCCTCTTCAAAAAGGCGTCCAACCTCTGCGAACTCACCGGCGCTCGCGCCGCAGTCATTGTCTTCTCCACCAAGAGTGAGGTGCACTCTTTCGGCGATCCCTCGGTCAAAGAGATAATCTCTGAATACCTCCGTCGCAAGGGTGACGTGATGCCACCGAAGGGTCCGAGAGAGTGGCTGGACTGGGTTGAGAAAAAGTGTGATTCTTGTGCGACACAGGAGGACTTCAAGTCCCTTATCGTGACCGTTCTCGATTGGGTGTGCAAGCAATTGAAGGATTTGGAGGACAAGCCATCGGTTAAGGCCGGCGTCGATGATGATTCTGGAGTTGGAGTTGGTCGTTCTTCTAAAGTTTCGAACAATGACAAGATCGATTCACTTAAAAAGAATTTTGAAGCTTCTCTTCCTTCACTTTTTGCTTTCGATAAGGACTATGCCCGTGATGTTGATTGCGACAGTTTCTTGATTTCGCCGGTCGGCTCGGCCGCGAGCAGTGGAAGTTTGGGAGTGGAGTCCACCCCGATGTGCTCCGATCATGAGGGTTGTGGGTTCGATCCTGACAACTTTCTTAATCTCCCCAAGGACCGCAACGGTTTCTTGATTTTGCCATAGGACTTGGCCATCGGCGATGGAAGCTCAGGAAAGGAATCCGCGCGTTCCGATCTTGAGGGCTCTGGAAATAATGAGGACGACATCTTTGCACTTGAAGATTTGGACGTGCCTCTTGTGATATAAATATGAGTGCATAAATACGTGTGTATGTATGTGCGTTTTGTTTCTCGTCATGCAGAATAGTATGGAGTAAGATACCTTTTAATCCTCCCATCCTGATGTAACTTTTTTTTTTTCCTAGTCTATTTCTCCTTACGTTAAGTCGAATGTTTTAATTTAGCACGATTTCTCCGCTTTTTTTAATTTTAGTGGTGCCACATCGGGTGTTAATAGGAAAAGGAATAGGTCGGACGAATCACGAAATTCACAAATCGTGAAAGATAGAGTATTTAATTATCAACACAAATAAAAAGGAGTTGATTTACCTAATTCGGTGATCTAAGGAAAATCCGAAGAGCCGGCTTCGATAAGATAAAGAGCCCCTGAGAGCTTGAGGGGGAAACTAGAACCTGATTCGAGGGAGATTTGAGCGAGAATGACAACTATTATGTTTTAGAAATCAATTTCTGGCCATAAATAGAATTTTGGGTTAATACCACGAAAAATCATAAACTGGTACACTTATGACAGATTTACCCAAAACTATATTTTTGACCATAGAAAACCCTAAACTGGTACATCAGTGACAATTTTACCCCGAACTATTTTTTTTACCACCAAAAACCCCAAACTAGTACACCTGTGATAATTTTACCCCGAACTAATTTTTTAATAATATTTTTTATTTTTTCGAATTTTTTTAGTTTTTCTTATTTTTTCTTTTTCCTTTCATTTTCTTTTTTTTTTTCCTTTATCTTTAACCTCTGGCCGGCGAGGTCGGCCCCGTCGGCCGACGGCGAGGTCGACCTCATCGTTGCTTGGCGAGGCCGACCTCGCCAGTTGCCGGTGAGGGGTCGTCCTTGCCGTTGCTGGCGAGGCTCGGCCCCGCCGCAACTAGCGAGGTCAACCTCGCCCAAAAGCGGCGACGGCGAGGACAACCCCTCGTCGGCAACTAGCGAGGTCGAACCTCGTCAGGGGTGGGACAAGGCCAACCTTGCCAGTTATCGGCAAGGTCGGCCTCGCCAGTGGTCGGCGGGGCCGACCTCGCCGACCCTCCCTCCAACTGATCGCCGAATCGGCGACCAGCCAGAGGTTGAAGATGAAGGGAAAAAAAAAGGAAAGGAAAGGAAAAAGAAAAGAAAAGAAAAACTAAAAAAATTCCAAAAAATAATATTAAAAAATTAGTTCGAGGTTAAATTGTCACAGGTGTACCAGTTTAGGGTTTTTGGTGGTCAAGAAAATAGTTCGGGATAAAATTGTCATAGATGTACCAGTTTGGGGTTTTTTATGGTAAAAAAAATAGTTTGGGGTAAATCTGTCACAAGTGTACCAGTTTAGGGTTTTTCATGGTATTAACCCTAGAATTTTCTAATTTTATTCCCTGAATGAGTTTCTTAGTCAAAATATACGTATAATAACAACATAAAATTTCTCCCTCCTGGTGGATGGTGGCCGGCGGCGGGCGAAGGACAGCCGAAGGCGACTAGCATTAGACAGCAATCGACGGACGGCAGCGGGACGTGACATCCTGATTTTTGGTGTCATTCCATATTGGTGCAGAAAAAAAATCGAAAAAAAAATTAGAAAAAAAAAATAATCAGAATATTAAGGAATATTCTGTCCGAAATTCCTTTATATCAAGTCTTTTCCTTTTCTCTCTTCATTCTGTTCATCTTCTCTTCTTCTTCTTCTTCTTTCTTCTTCATTTTGGACGGATCGTGGTTGCGCAAGAGGAAAATCGGCTCGACTTCCTACGATTCTTCGACAAGATCATCCTCGAGGCAAGTAGATTCTAATTCCTCAACTTCGTATTCGTCTTTTCACCCGAGATAAATGGTTTTTGGCCTTTTATGATGGGTTTTGGGTCTCGAGTTGAAAAGTTTGGAAAGTCTTTGACTTTTTGGTTTCCCGAGGACGTACGGGTGTCGGGATATCGTGAGATGGTGACGGATCGTTGAAAACGAGCTTGGATGGCTCGAACGAGATATGTTAAGGTTATGTGTAAGTTGGATGATGAAATTTTTACTATGTTCCTTTGATTTTCTAGTCGTTTTTGGTGTTGTTCGAGTGTCGGGATGACACGTGGTGAGTTTGAATGGTTGTAAGGAGTCGATAAGGGCAGCCGTGGTTTGCGTTGAGCCGAACTGCTTAACGGCGCGTGGTGGCCGCGGAATAGAAAGTAGCGCGGGGGTGGCTCATGGTGTGGGATAGAGGCGTGAGGAACGCCTGTGTCGTAGGCCGCTGATGGTGGTGACCGAGCCCATGGACGGTGACGACGTGGTCTCACGTCAGCTGAATCATGTGATGAAGGATAGTTTATATGAGATGGTGATTTTGTGCACGATGTTGTTATATTGCCTGTGATTTGGATAGTATCGTTGGTGTCTCGGTTGGTTTAATATGCCCCATATGGGGATTGTTATTCATATGCTTCTGTTAGAATCATTTGCACTCATCATATTATAATTGTGTGATAATGGATGGTGAGGATTGTCAGACGGGGGATCCCTAACGATGCCTTATGTGCATTGCTTCATGTGCATCATGTGAAAGTGAATGGTGAGGACCATCGGTCTGCACGCCAATGATGCCCCGCGGGAGTATCGGGATGCCCAAGTACGGAAGGCTTGGATGCCGTCGGTCTGCGCGCTGACGATGCCTCGGAGTGAGATGCCTGTGGTTGGTATACCATGGAAGTCCGGTCTGCGCACTGGAAGTTATCCGCACGGGTCGATCTACGCGTCGATGTAACCGTGGTACGGGGGTGGATATTTGATGAGAGAACTGATATAATAACTAGCATACAACATGCACTGCACCCATTTATTGCATTTGCATCATTTCTCTCATAAATAATGTTTACATCTTGTGGTGATTTGATGATTCGTGTTGTCGATGTTTTAGATATCTATTTGCTGAGCTTTATGCTTACTTCCGTGGTTATTTATCTTTTCAGATTAGTAGATATGACATCCGTTCCTCCCACTACCTATAGCGCTCGTTATGGAGCCCCTATTGATTTTACGTTCCATTGGGAGGACGTGACTTTTTCTGAGTTTCCGAATGTTGTTTTTGTGAAGTTTGTGTCCACACTGTGGGTTGATGTAGGCTTTGCGCCAGGGTTAGATTCGTGCCGTTTCATTGCGTTGTATATCCGCTGTCAAGGACAGCTTTGGGGACTGCTTCCATTTCTGGATACTGACTCAGACTCAGGGTCGGACAACGATCCTGATATGGAGGAGTAGTTGGGCGACCAGATGGACAACTTTTTGAGATGGCATGACCCGAATGACGGACCTTTTTGAATAGGGTCGTATAGTTGTTGGAGCAGGGAGCATTTGGGGGTGGTTGTATTGGTGGAGTAGTGTACCTAGCCTCCCAAGGGCGACTTATCTTTTGAATTGTATATTTGTACAGTTAGTTCGCATGTACCCTGACTCTAACTTTGTATATATATATAAAGGTATTTACCAGCGTGCTTGCGTTTGTGTATGTTTCTCAGTAAAAGATACTTTACATTCTTGTTTCATAAATATTAATAGCTTCCGCATGCGTATATGGATTATTAGACCCTTTGTCGTTAGTAGTGACGGCCTGCGACGTCACACGGGAGGCCACCGGCGACAGGAAAAATAGAGAAACAGAATTGTACTCGCCTTACTTTTTGTTTGGGCCTTTGTTGAAAAGTCTGGAGCCAAGTTGGCTCTTCTGTTGCAACGAACAACTTGAATATATCGGAGAAATGAGCCAATAGATCCATACACTCAAGGCCTGTTTAGTAACGTTTTTGTTTCTTTATTTTTCAGTTTTTTTGTTCCCCAGAACAGAAAAAGAACAGAAATTTATTTAGTAATGTCAGTTAATTTTTTGGTTTCTTGGAATAAAAAAGTAATCAGGGAATAGATTTGAAATAGAAACAAGAAGCAAAAAAATCTACTTCTTATTTCTAGAAAAAAAAAAAACAGAAACGATTTTTGCTGGAACCCTCTAAAGCAAAATATCTCTTTCTCGCTCCTTCACCTTTCCAACTCGTGCTCTCCCTCTCAGCTCACCACCTCCAAAGCATCGCCTCTGTCTCGCCGTCCCTCTCTGGTGGCATCACATCCGTCCGGTCGGCTCTCTCTAGTGGTGTCGCCTCCGTCCGGTCGCCTCTCTCCGGTGGTGTCGGCGTTACCTTTGTCGTCTCTCGTCCAGTCCAGATCTATACACAAGTCGCCTCCGGCGGTCGCATCAGTTCGGTCGCCCTGTCCAGTCGTGTCGCCTCTCTCTAGTCGCCTCTCTCCAATCGCCCTTTCTTCGCTCGGCTGTCAATTGCTCCAATCGTGCTCGGCTCTCTCTCGGTTGCTTCTCTCGGTAGCCCGAATCCAGGTTTTTCGCTTCGATTCCTTGTGGTTGTACATTCTTTAGTTGTGCTTCTCACTTCTTGAAGTTGAATGGCTGCATTCTGCATATGGATTTGCTCTGATTGTTTGTAAATTTGAAACCCTAGCGTCGATTGATGCTGTAGCGTTGATTACATTATGCTATGAATCTCATGTCAAGCTTTAATTTTGGTTCAAGTTTGGAAGCTTCGATACATTCTTATGCTATTTAGTATCTTTGGCCGACTGTTTACAAATATTCTCCGATTGTATCGGACTAACCTTGCACTTCTGGTGGTTAAAAATATTTCTCTATTTTTTTTAATTAATGAATTTGATACGAGTCCTCTTTCTTTTAACATTAATCTGGGGAAAGCCTTTTGAGGATGTGCTTTTCTAAGGGATAGTTTAGGCTGGGCTTCGGGTGGTTTAGTAGAAAACAGCATTTGACTGCCTTCTAAATGGGAAAGCCAAAGCTGTTGTGTGCATCAGATAGAGCGTTTTATATATGATTCAAAGTCCACTTGTTCTAGAGCTACTACTTGTTTGGCATGCGACTCGTTTTGTGGAAAGATTTACTTAAGAGTATTAATCTCATGTCAAGCTTTAATTTTGGTCCAAGGAAATAATGACAAATGCATTATTTTGACGAGCTTCTATAGAATGTCTTATTGCTTTACAAGAAGTTCCTGATCATCTATGTGCTCATGTTGTGGTGTATTAAAGTTTATAGGATATCTTGTTGCCTCTGGATGATCAGCCTTTTGAATTTAAAATACTTGCTTGAAAAAATGTGGACTTGAGAGTGTTTGTCTGAGATAATGGAGGAGTTTACAAGTTTTCAAGGTCAAATTTAAGAGGTTCAATATACCTTCCGATAGTCCAGGTTGAAGTACCAAAAGTAGCCCTATTTATTGGTCAATCTTGTGTGTTCTCTGTTTTGATCATCAGGATAGTGAGGTCTCTGTGTCATACTAAAAAAAAGTGGACAGAGCTTTTGTTTCGCTGTTAGTATAGGCTTGCAAAGGTTGGTTTAAGGTGTTTACATATCAATTCACGTAGTCATTTATTTATTGATACTAGGTTGTATTCATGCTTGTGGAATCAAATTGGACTTCATAATCTCTCGACTTGGAATATTGTTTTAGGCTTTTTTTAATATCTAGTCTTTTTTATGATTAGCTAGACCGGTTGGAGTCATTTTGCTGCATGATTTCATGATAGATAAGTGCTTGGTGACATTTCCCTAATGAGAGGAAGGAAGGGGAGGGAGGCGGGCAGGGTGTTGTTGTAGAGTTGGGTGGGGGTGTTGTAGTGGAAAAAGAGGAAAAAGGAAAAGGAGATGTAGTTGGAGAAGCATAATATAGCGAAAGGAACAAAAGCAAGGCTAAAATTGAGTTGATTGAAGTTGGAACAGATAAAGGTTATTCTCGGGATTATAAAAGTGAATGATGTTTACTGAATGAGGAAAACTAAAGACAAAGTTACTAAGGACTTGTGTAAAAACAAACTATATATATATTTTTAGGTCTTCTCTTTTTGGTTGATTTTCATTTACTTTGCATGGTATTTGGTGTGGCACTTTTTTTTTTTTTGATAATCGAGGTGTCCGCGCAGCCGGCGAGCTAGTGCTCAAACCAGCGGTGATGCCCGACTAGTCCTCGAGGGGGGCTAGCGCAGCATCCCACCGCCACGACTCCCCACTTAAATCACCGATGGGTGAGTTTGAACCCAGGACCTCTCGTGAAAGGAACTGAGCGCAAACCAATGCGGCCACCGATGGATGGGTTGGTGTGGCACTTTTTGTACACCTTTACTTTAAAAAAACAATGCAGAAAGTGGTTTTCCATCTAGATGATTATCATGAACTCATATGATGTTCAACTAGTGAACGTTAAATGGCATCCCAGAAAGAGGCATTCAACGCAAAGTGGACCGAGTCTTTAACCAACTTGTATGTCAGTTTGTTGGTAGAAGAGGTCAAAAAGGGAAATCGCACCTTTTCTACTTACAACAAAGCAAGGTGGACTAACATACAGACTGAATTTAATAAACGGTTAGGACTCCAATATAATCAAGTGCAGTTGAAGAACAAGGTGAACAAACTGAGAAAACAATATGGTAGTTTTAAGAAGCTTTTTTCACAATCCGGATTTGGCTGGGATAATGTAAACAAAATAGTTGTTGACGTATGTCATCATTATGAAAATTGCAGGATAATAGTGAGTGAACAAAATTCAAGAAGGATGGGTTTCCTCAATATCCCGACTTGTGTATTGTATTTGGTGATATATATGCTACTGGGGAGCATGCAGTTGGAAATGTCGAAGATTTGATGGCGTCGGACGAAGGTGACACTAGTGGTGGTGATGCAGACGGTGGTCGAGAGGATGTAAGTGAACACCATATTGACGAGGGAGTCTTTACATCTGACAAAACTGCTACTCTAGTTCATGATAAGCACAAGTTGGATAGGACTCCAAATATCAAGAGGAGAAGACAGAGTCACGCAAATGTTATTAGTAGCACCTGCATAGCCTTACAAGATTTGATCAAAACTAGGGCAAGTCAATCTGTGTCTGGTTCTGTCACCTCATAGGTCGCATCACCACCTGTAGACCCCTACTCTATAGTTGTCATGATTGGAGTCTTGGTAAGCATGTCTGAGTTGGAGCAGAATCTTTACAACAAGGCAGTAGAACGAGCTTGCGTTAGTGCCGCATGGAGGGATGCTTTCATCTTATCACCGGTTGAAAGGAGAAATGGACTTCTCCAATGTCTTTAATAGATGTTGGGAAATATACTGTGGATTGCATGGGGTTTCATTGACTGTATGACTTATGTTGTTGGTTTTTATTTGGTTTTTAAGGTTTTGGATGTTCAGACTCTTGCATTTGTGTGGTGGCTTGGGTATGATGGATTGTATGCGATTTTTATATTTGGTTTGTTTCACTTTATGACTTATGTTATTTGTTGGACTTATGTTATTTGTTGTTATTGGGTATTTTTTTATATATCTATATTAATGTTCTTGTATTTGTGTAATGGCATAGGTACTATGGAAGGGGGACAAAATAGTATGTCTAATGGGCAAGTAGCACAAGTTGAACAGGTTTTGGATGACATTGATATTGACATAATGATAACATGGTTGAATATTCTTGCAGTGGACATGTCTGTTCATAAGAAAGAACCTATTAGGGACAGTAAATTGTCAGGACCTGAATGGGTAAGGGAGATTGTTTATGGACATTCAGATAGGATATATGAAGCCTTCAGAATGGAGAGCCATGTTTTTCTGAACCTATGTGGTTTAATGAACGCAAGAGGTTGGTCGAAAGATAGTCGATATATAAGGGTAGATGAACAAATTGAGATATTTTTATCTTTGGTTGGTCGCAAAAACTCAAACAGAGATTTATGTGAGAGATTCCAACGTTCGGGAGCAACAATAAGCAAGTATTTCAATATAGTGTTGAAAGCAATTATCAAACTATCAAATGAAGTTATCAAACCACCTTCCTTTGATGTTGTCTCAGAGGAGATTCTCATGGATCCTAACCATAAATGCTACTTCAAGGTATGATTTTCATATTGATTATACACAATCAAATCATGTGGTTGATAATCATGTGTAACACTAGACTTTCATAAAATCTTAAGGCTGCGTAGGTGTTATTGATGGCACTCACATTAATGCTTCTATCCCTATGTCGCAGCAAATCCCATTTAGAGGTAGGAAAGGAAGTACTACACAGAATGTGATGTGTGCTTATTCGTTTGATATGAAATTTACTTTCGTGTATGCTGGGTGGGAAGGATCTGTTAATGATTGTCGAATGCTCTCAGCAGCACTCAAGACTCCTCGACTGCAATTTCCTCGACCACCACTCGGTATTTTCGTTGTCTATAAAATATAATTTTCTTTATGATTGTATAACAGTTGCATATCATAACAAATTTATGTGTTCCTTCTTATAGGCAAATATTATGTGGTAGATTCTGGTTATACATCACTTCCGGGATTTTTAACTCAGTTTAAAGGTGAACGGTATCATTTGAACGATTATAAAGGTAAAGGGAGACGGCTCAGAATAGCGAAAGAATTGTTCAACCGTAGGCACTCTTCACTCAGGAATGTCATTGAGAGGTCATTTGGAGCATTAAAGAATCGTTTTTTCATTTTGAGACATATGCCTCCATTTTCAATTCGAAAGCAAGCACTTATTGTAATTGCTTGTTGTGCTCTCCATAATTACATTCGTGAGGAAGACAAGATGGACAAAAACTTTTCCCTATATGGAGATCCGGAGTACCCATTCGGACCTACACAAATAGAGGTTGCAGACGATACATCACTTACGGGGGTAGCTAAGATAAACATGATTAGGAAAAATATTACAAATAAAATGGCAAGGGATCACAATATGGATGAGATTCCATGACTTTGTATTTCCGACTTTTGTAATGTCTTTGTAAACTATTATGACTACATTTCTGTTAATTGTATTAAGGTCATTCATGACTTTTGTAATGTGTTTGTAAACTATTATAGATATATTTTTGTTAATTGTATTAACGTCATCCGATTCTATATCATATATATTATGATTTTATTAGTTAGGCCATGCCACTCTCATAATGACCCCATAAAGGTATTTTTTTTAAACGTAAAAATCATGAATTTATGAATGTTCAAGTAATTAAAAAAAACCAAAGAAGTTGTCTTCTTCAAAAACTTTAAGTAGATAATCATATGAAAAAATTAAATTTTTTTTATTTCAGGAATAGAAATTTTATACAGTTACTAAACGCGTTTTTATTTTCTATTCCAGAAATAGAAATTTTGTGCAGTTACTAAATACGTTTTTTTCTTAGAAACTATTTTAAAAAATAAAAATATAAAAAATAATTTCTGATTAGAAATTATTTGTTAAAACAGAAAGGTTGCTAAACATATCGTCAGTGATAAGCACCTGATAAACTTGCCAATTCTGATAGCCTGACTCGGCCGCCAGTGGTGGATGTTCGGGAGTGGAGTCCACCCCCACGCGCTCCGATCTTGACGGCTATGGGTGTATTCCTGACGACTTTCTTACTCTCTTCGAGTGCTGCGTCGGCGACGGTCACCACCGCCACGGTTTCTTGACTTCGCCAGAGAACTCGGTCGCCGGCGAGGGAAGCTCGGGAGTGGAGTCCATGCGCTCCGATCTTGAGGGGCGATGGGTATAATAATCAGGATGACTTTCTTGCGCTTGAAGATTTGGGTGTCTCTCTGTGATGTAAATATGGATGTGTTTTTTCTTGTTAAAATACGTTGTACTAAAGAGAGTAGATAATGGGTTTCAACGCTGGTTGTTCAAATTTTCCAGTTCAGATCATATCCAATACAAGTTCGGATTTGTTTGATTGTAAATTGGTAATGGTTCCTCCGCCTTTTCCTTGTTCTCGCTATTTCTGGGTTTCTACCGAGAGTGGACCAACGAAGAGAGATGACTGTGTTAGTTCTGCTTCTTGACATTGGGATGCCATATTTATATTCCAAAATAAGCCAATGCAGAGAAAAGAGTTGTATCTGTCCAAGGAAATGTTCAATTTGCAAAGCATGAAAAAGAAATTTGCAACCTTGAATAGGTTCGGAATATAGATTTACCATTTGCCATTCAATTTGACTCTGTTTGTCACACTGTCTTACAGTTTTATGAACTGCCGCTTTTACATGACTCCACTGTCCAAATACTCAAATTCTCGGGTTAGCATGAATGAACACACAAGCTCCAATTCAGCTTCTTCCTGAAATTGAGGTTAAAGTCTCATCCCCTTTGATCCCTCTCAAATTGCAGACACTGACTTCACAAATTGTTCTTCTTCCACAACAACTATTAGATGCAGAAATGGGGGAAGAAGAAGGAGCAGGAGAAATTCAAATCCAATCACTCCTAGAACAGAGTTTCCAAGAATCAACCAACCCAAACCCCACCTGCAAACAAGCCTTCGAGTAGGCCTCCCCCTCTCACTCAATCAAAGTCGTCATAGTGAGATGGCAACTCATTCGGAACAAGCTCATGGAAATATCTTCTGCATTGACCATATCTGATGAGTGCACTGAGCTTCCAAGGCATGGTTCAAGAAATGACGTTCGCAGTCGGGGAGTGTCGTGGCCTTGCTGAGAAATGCATGGTGCATCCCTATGGCGGGAAGCTATTGATTCAGAGCAATTTGGACATGGTCTTGACAAAGCTCCGTTGCCATGTCAAGAATCTCTCCAGGATGTGCAAAACCAGTTTTTTTCCTCATGGGTATGCCGTTGTTGTCTCAAAGCCCAGCTTTGGGGCTTGTAAGGAGGACATGAGGTTTTATGTTAAGGATTTTTGGACAAGGAGGAAGATTGAGGAAGACCCAGAAATGAAGAGCCAAGCTCTGGCTAGTTTGCACGAAGTTGCGAATGACGATGAGAAATTTGTGAAGGTGGTCATGGAAGTTGGTGAGGTCATTCACCTCTTGGTCAGCTCTCTTGATTCTCTGGAGATTGAAGTTCAAGAAGAGGCTGCAAGAGTGCTCTCAGTGGTTGCAGGGTTTGATTCATGCAGGGGTATCGTGATCACCTGGTCTGCTGCCACTTACTGATGAGAAACTTAAGTTCTTGGCCACCTTAGCAGAATGCTTTTCATAAGTGTTTCTGTTAGCCCTCATGATAAACTTAACTAAAGGTAAGGGCTACTGCATAAGCTGCTTTCTAGGGTCGTACAAATGACCGTTCCTTGACTTTTCTTGGTTTTATGGTTTCGAACATCTAGTGGAAACACTAGGTTATGATTGAAGTTTACTTGATTGTACATTCATGTAGCTCAAGCATAATTTTCAAGGGTATTTTACCTTCCCATCCGTAGGATATCTTGGTTTAGAATGCTAACAGTTGACAACGTGTTCTGAGGCTGATAATCACAAATGTTGCTGTTTTTATGCTATGGCAGATTGCTGATCGTAGTTTTATGATGAAAAACTTTACAGTAAGATCTCTATCCTAGAACTAAAGGTCTCCAATAAAACCAGGCCAGACGATGCTGGTCTAAATTATAAAATTTCATTTCTCAATCCAAGTGAGTCTATGATTCTTTAGTGCAGCTTTCCTTAGACAACTTTAAGAGCAGTCGTCTGCACATGCTGATAACTTGTTTCAGCCATATGACCATGGAGCATACAATCTATGACATGACTGGACTTTACTTTTTGGGGTACAATGTATGATTTAACGCCTCTTCATCTTCTTTTTTCCTTTGAGAAAAGATGCCTTTTTCGCTTAAATGTTTTAGTTTTCCTGACAATTTAATGCTCCTGTGTATTTGAATTTGTAGAATTGCTTATCTTCATTTTGAAGCTTTAACAATAGAAAGACTGTAACTTTTATGCATTTGAAAATGGCCAGTTTTCTGGTGGGGGAGAGAGTGAGAGAGAAAGATTTCTTTCTCTTTTGTTTATGTTTATGATGGGGACCTTTTCTGAAATATGTTAGGTACAATTGTACCGTTTGTGGTCTTGTGCCTCGGAATAAGTAGATACCTTACTTAGGTGGTTTGATTTTTCTATTTGATGGATGATATCCTGTGCTCTACTTGTTTCTAATTAATTATGTACAGTTAGATTGGGAGAAATTTTGGATCAGAATTCTTGTTAAAGTTGTATCTGGCTGTGGCTCTTGGTGGTCCAGAATTCTATTTAGTGAATCATGCTTTCATGCGTTCGCAGTCGAAGGTAAACTGAATATATGGAAATATGCGTAGAATTATTTTGTGGACTTTTAGCTAATGCAAATTTTTCTTATCTCAAACTTTGCACGGTCAAGGAATGTTCCGCATAGACCCTTCGAGAATGCCAGGATTGGTATGTGTAAATAGAGCAACTACTATCGAGAGGAACAATAATTTATGTTAATCCACTAGTCACGTCCCGTCCACTTTAAGTTTATTCCATGTCTTTGAATGTCAGTTTGTTGACAATCTGAAATGGTCTAGAAAAATCGTGCTTTACTTTGAGATAGGCGATTGCAGTTTCCAGTCCCAAAACATGAAATAGCGCTTCCTATCTTTCATAGATTATGTCAAGGTGCATTATCTATAATCCGAAACAATGCTTGTTGACATGATCAGAAGTAAAGCATGCTTTTTGGTGCTGCAAGTGTGTGATACCATATTCTGGAAGATCCTGGGCTCGATTTATGAAATAGCCGTGAAACCTTCAACTTTTATGTAATGCAACTGGCATGTGCTCGAGTTTTATCTTAATGGTGATATCCTTTTAGGGGGCTAGTGGAGCTGTTAATGCTATCATGCTGCTTGATATATCTCTTTCCAAAAGCCACACTCTACTTCGACTTTATCATTCCAGTTCCTGCCATCTTACTGGTAATACTTCCATGGTTTTGATAGTAATGTTGTTTCTTTTGGGGGTTAATTTGGATAGCTCTCTGAATCAAATTTTAATTACTTGTTAGGGAATTTTTCTGGTAGGCAAAGATGTGTTGAGGTTAATGAAGGTATGCATCGACTTTTTTTTTTAACTTTCTGTAAGATAGCTAGTCTTTTCGCTGAATTACTTCTCTCTTTCTATGATGATGAACATTTTGGTCAGTTAATCACTCGATTGGATCTAGATAACAATTGATATGTTGTAGTGTCGCAAAGATTGAAATATAGAGATAGGATAACTAGTGTAAAGCATGATTGCATCAAATATTATAAATTAGTATCTGCTGCAACGGTAATTCTAAGTGTGCTGATTTCTTTGTATTACTTAACAATTTTGAACATCAAGATATGTGAGTCAATGTGACACCACATCGTCAATGATGCGGTACCACCGTTATACTTTCTTCCAATTTAGAACTCTGAATAGTTTGTAGAGAAAGGCCCTTGGATATGGTCGGGAATGAGCAGTCTTGCTAATACAGCAGCATGAGCATACTAATTCTGAATTTAGAACAGCTTGCAACTTATGAAACGTCTTCTAAATAATAGAAATCACAAATTATGGCTCTATAAGTTATCAAGTTATCAACAAAGTGCTGGTCCTTTTGTCAAAAAAAAAGAGAGGCCGTGTTAGTGCATGAGCGTCAGAAATGGAAGTGACATTCTGTCCTATGCAATCCGAGGAAATTTTCTAAATCTGTCATGTACAAACTGCCTGTAAAGGGCGGTTTTAAATCTTCGGCTTCTCATGTTGATTTCAGCATGGATAACTGATTCTTTTCTTCTTCTTTTTTCCATTCTGCTTCTTCATTTTTGTGAAGTGGGTGTCAAGGTGATTGCCTCGAGGGTGTCGCTGAAAACTTATATAGCAGCTGGCAGAAATGGCTCCGGAGTTCTGTAAAATACTGAAAAAGATGGCATAACAATGGATGACGAGCTCTTTAATTTGTGCAAAGAGGCATGTGCACCACGGCTACTATGGCGGGAGCATTACTGACGTACACAATTAGACAATCTTTGTATAATTAAAAGTTCACAATAGCTCTTAGACGTCGCTGGTATATGTTTGCTGCATGCAAGGCCCGAAATAATTGCGGAGATCTTTTGTTGATTCTGCACTGGGAAGTATCAGCCTAATAGTCATTGTTGCTCACTCTGTTATCAGAGCACTTTGATGTGAAAGTATCTGTCAAGATGGCCAATGATGCATGTTGTATAAAGATATGCAAAGAATGTTAATTGAATAATTTAGTAGTGAGCTTCTCCTGCAACTGTCATATTTCTTGTAAGTTCTTCCCAAAGCACAGCACTTTATTTATATGGTCTGTTCACTAGAAACATATAACCATTCTCAGAAAAGCTATATTCTCCAGGTGCACATGAGCCCGATGATCTTATTATCATTGGGACCGTTCTATGTGGGGTCCAATGATTCAATGGTTAAGATTTACTAGGTTCACAAGTATCCAGAGCATCTAATAAATTCTTCGAGTTTATAGGCCTGACCTCTGATGGGAAGGAAAACACAAATTTTCTCATTTATAGGTGATTGAAACGCACGCATTGTGGTTGGGGTTAATTGGTAGGTTTGTTCTTGTGCTTAGTTGATAACTATAGCTCGTAAAGTGTCAATCACACTTTGAGTTTTTTCAAGGTGAAAAATAGCTTTTCCTTTGCTTACGGATGATTAAATTTCTTGGGCTTCTGAGATTATATTATTCATCTCCTATTGGGTTTGAAACACAGGATTCAGATTATGTAATTGGTCTTACTATAGTCCTTGTACTTTACATGGGTGCTTTCTGTTTACAAAGAACCATATTGTGGCCTACACCACACTTATCGGACCGTGTTTTTCAAAGTTCCCTCCAACATTGATGGGGTATAACCATGGACATCACCTATGTTTATATTTGGTTAATTTTGCACGTGGATCATGTTCACAACTCATAATCCACTGATCACAAGAATGATTGGAGGAAGTTTCCTCCAACTACCATTAGTTGTGGTTGGAGGAATTGAGGGAAAATATAGCTCATAAACCAGATATATGTCAATGGCGTTTTACATTATTATATGTAGAAGTCTAGGTGGGTTTTGTATACATATAGCGATGCCTAGTATAGCACATTGAACCATGAGAATGGTAAAAGTATAGAATTATGCATTGTTATATCCTATAAATTTTAGAAAAAATATTAACCGGGTCTTATAATTTTATTTAGTGTCTTAAATTTTCAAAATTTTTATCCCTTTACTTAAATGTTGCAACTATCATAACTATTTTACTTGATATTTTATTCAAAGTTCAATATTCAATTTATTGAAGAGAGTAAAAAAAAAAAATCATACAATTAATGTAGACAAACAAACCAGCATAATTTCGATTGAAAATCTCGTGACGAGCTTCCTTCGTTAAACCTCTTGATGGGATCCACTAAGCTCGATGATCATGGTGGATGTCATGGTGGCAAGGTGATGTTGGGATATCGATGGAATACAACGGTCGATAGCTATGCTCTCTCTCTCTCCTCCTAACATGTCACTGTATTTTTTCCTTCTCATTTTTATTTCTCTTATCTTATATTAAATTGAATGTTATAATTTAAAACGATTTCTTTACTTTTAATTGCCACATTGGGTGTTAATGGTAAAACATATTATGAAAGATGGAGCATTTAATTAACACAAAACAAAAAGTTCGAGCACCTAATTGACCATCTACATGGGTCAAGTTGAAAGGACAAAAAATCGGAATTGCCCCAAAATTTTTGGCGTCCAACTCCAGAATTACGACCAACACCGACCATGACCAATGGAATATTCTCTAATTTCTTGCACGCACAATCGCGGATGGCCTTGTACATTATGATAAAAAACTCGACGTCCTCCTCCGTCACGACGGAAGATGGACCCTTGGGCCTTTGTTTCGAGATTTATCGATGGAGAACTTAGTAACCCTCATTTTTGTTTGGCCAATGAAATAATTAAATCTCGCTTGGGAATTTGCCCTTTGGTTCCACTGACGACACATGATATTTTAAGGGGTTAATACCACGAAAAACCCTAAACTGGTACACCTGCGATAATTTTACCCCGAACTTTTTTTTTTACCACAAAAACCCCAAAACTGGTACACCTGTGATAAATTTACCCCGAACTATTTTTTTGACCATCAAAAACCCAAAACTGGTACACTTGTGACAATTTTACCTCGAACTATTTCTTTGACCACCAAAAACCCCACACTGGTACACCTGTGACAATTTTACCCCCGAACTAATTTTTTGACCACTAAAAACCCCAAACTGGTACATTTGTGACAAATTTACCCTATGTTAGTGTCCGTTAAATTATATTAATATCACGAAAAATCACAAATTGATAAATTTGTGACAAACAGAGGGGTAAAACCCAAAATCAATACACATGTCAATTACCACGTGTCATTAAACTTAGCAATTTGACAGTAAAATTTAACAGAAACTAACGGAGGGTAAATTTGTCACAGGTGTACCAGTTTGGGATTTTTGGTGGTCAAAAAATTAGTTCGGGGGTAAAATTGTCACAGGTAAACCAGTGTTGGGTTTTTTATGGTCAAAAAAATAGTTCGGGGTAAAATTGTCACAGGTGTACCAGTTTAGGGTTTTTTATGGTCAAAAATATAGTTGAAGGTAAATTTGTCACAGATGTACCAGTTTGGGGTTTTTCGTGGTATTAACCCTATTTTAAGAAACTCACTATTCGTTTCAGACTGATTTTCTAGCTCAACAAATTTTCTTCCAAAAACGATAGTAATTAGTAATACCTGAATCTATAAAATACATAAAAATAAAATAAAATAAAATTCCCAAATGCGTAAAAGCATTTGATGTTGTAATCACTTCCGGAGAAAAAGTGATAAACAGGATACCTTTTGCCCTTTTGCTGTTTGCAATCGTCCATTATGTTGTGGCACGGTTGGTCTTGGGATGAGTCGACAATATCAATGGGAATGTGATGGTGGATAGTTGCGCTCTCTCTCGCCTCTCCTCTCCTCCTAACTTGTTACTATATTTTCTTTTTCTTCTTATCTTACATTAGATTGAATTTTATATCTTAAAGTGATTTCTTTACTTTTAGCTACCCGCATCGGATGTTACTGGAAAAAGGAATCGATGGGGCGAATTATAAATTCCAAGTATCATGAAAGGCAGAGAATTTAATTAACACAAGTAAAAAGTTCGAGCACCCAATTTGACCATCTACATAAGTTAAGTTGAAAAGACGAAAGACTAAAATTGCATAATTTTTGACGTACAACTCTAAAACTACCACCGGCATCTACCTTGACCGTTGTAGATTAATTTTCTAGCTCGACGGATTTTCCTCCGGATTGGATGATATTTTACTCTTGAAATGCATTTTATTTGTGATATATTAGGTTGTCTCAACATCTTCTTTAGCTTTACGTTTAATACCGAGTAAATTTAAAACAACCGAAATTCATGACTAAAGTGGCATAAATGAAAAGAAAAGAAAACCAAAGGATAGTAACACTTGACTACTAGAAAATACAAAAGAAAAGAAACAAAAAACTCCGAAATGCGTTGCAAAATTCGTTGTTCTGCCAGCAGTTAGTATTTTGCTCTAAACAGGTCTTATCAATTTGGCCAATGCCATTTCCCTCGTTGTGTGGAAAGATTGTGTTTTGATGAATCTGGCTATGAATTTGATGATTTGGTGACGATCAAAGAGCACGAGGCAAGTGACTGTCCTTGGGCACCAAATTAATAATTAAGAAAAGAGTTAAAAGAAAGCAAAATTTGTCATGAGAGCTCATGAGTCCAACACTAAGAAAAGAGTTAACAGTGGGCACGAGTACAAGGCTAAGAAAAAGTTAAAAAGAGTGCAAGAATCTTTCTTTTAGCTCCAACTCCAGGATCACCACGATTAGAGCGCACTGAAAGCACTGAAGAGAATATTATTATGACTTGCGAAAAGAGAGGAGGTCAGACGGCCTGTCTGTTGGAACTTTGGGAGGAAAGAATGAAGTTGACATCTTCCAATATAGGAAACGTAACGACAGCCCCGACTCTTTCATTGAGCGTTTTCCCATTGGCCATTGCTTGTATTCTATTTTTCCATCATAAATGTCATGTTAGCAATCGATGTTGTAGCATGTTTCGATTAATCCACATTGATTCTTCATCGTATAGGCTCGAATGGCATGCTCAGTTTCTATGATGGTGGCAAGGTGGTGTTGGGATGAGTCGGAATATGACGGCCGACAGCTGCGCGCGCTCTCTCTCTCTCTCTCTCTCTCTTCCTAACATGTTACCGTTTTTATTTTTCCTTCTTCTTATCTTATATTAGATTGAATTTTGTAGTTCAAAGCGATTTCTTTACTTTTAACTGCCACGTCGGGTGCTAATGGCAAAAGGAATTGATTTGATGAATCATCGATTCCACACATCGTGAAAGGCAAGAGTATTTAATTAACACGGGTGAAAAGTTTGAGTGCCTAATTTGATGATCTACATAGGTCAAGTTGAAAGGACGGAAAACTAGAATCACCTTGAAATTTTCGACGTCCAACTCCAGAATTGCCATCAACATTGAACTTGATCGATGTAGATTAATTTTCTAGCTCGACAAATTTTCCTCCAAATCGGATGATAATTTTACATTTGGAATGCATCATATTTTGATTTAATAGTTTGTCTCAATATCTCCTTCAGCTTCATATTTAACAACTAGTGAATTTATGACTACAGTGGTATTCAAGAAAAGAAAAGGATGCGACACCTGAACGTGGGACAACTGAAGACAAGGAGGGAAGGTGTCTCGCATGTGGACAACTGAATCTAAGACATAAAAGTCAAAAGCCACACCACAACTTTTTCAATTATTTTTAATTGTTATTCTAGTTGTCTAAGTTGCAATCATGGTGCTATGAACCCCACACCAAATCAGTTCGTACTCCATGCCCCTTCGCTCTCTCTCGAGCACCTAATTTGGCGATCTACATGGGTCAAGTTGAAAGAACCAAAAACATAAAAATTGCTCCAAAATTTTCGACGTCCAACTTTGAAACCACGACCAACACCGATCATGATCGATGGAACATTCTCTGATTTCTTGCGCACGCAATTGCAAATGGCCTTGTACTTCACGATCAACGACTCAACGTCCTCCTCCGTCGCTGCGGAAGATGGACCCTTGGGCCTTTGTTTCGAGATTTATTGACGGAGAACTTAATAACCCCCATTCGCTTGCGAATTTGCCCTTTGGCTTTTCCGTGACGACGCGTGATATTTTAAGAAGTTTACCATTCGTTTCAAATCAATTTTCTAACTCAATAAAATTTCCCCCAAATTGGATGATAGTAATTAGTAAAACCCAAAAACTAGAAAATACAAAAAAAGGAAAAAAAATTCCGAAATGCGTAACAGCGGCTTCGATGTCGAATTTGTAGCGTTCGAAATTTCCATTACCCTTCGACAAAAAAAAAATTCCATTACCCTTTGTTCCCTTCCGAGATTCCATTACCAGCACCTTTTAGCTACTCATTCTTTTAACTCCAGCTCCAGCACCTCTTAACCAGCATTTAGAAAGAAGGATTGCATTCGCTTACAAATTTTCCTCCAAAATTGATAGCAATTACTAACACCTGAATAGTAGAAAAAAAAATTCCCGAAATGCATAAAAGCATTTTTTGTTGTAATCGCTTCCGGAGAAAAAGTGATTGATGGAAGATCTTCCTAAGCAGGACAGCTTTGCTTTATTTCCTTTTTGCAATCGGATTGATGTTGTTGCAAAGTGGCCTTGGGATGAGTTTGACAATATTCTCTCTCTCTCCTAACATGTCACGTTATTTTTGTCTTCTTATCTTACATTAGGTTGAACTAAAGCGATTCCTTTACTTTTGATTGCGCGCATCGGGTGTTAATAAAAAAAGGAATCGATTGGGCGAATTAGTGATTCTACAATATAGGAAAGGCGGAGTATATAATCAACATGAGTAAAAAGTTCGAGCACCTAATTCGACCATCTATGCAAGTCAAGTCGAAAGGACGAAAAATCATAACAGCGTAATCTAGAACTAACACAAGCATCGACCTTGGGGGCCTAATTCGACCATATACGTAAGTCAAGTCGAAAGTACAAAAAATTAGGGTTGCATAATCCAAAACTACCACCGGCACCGACCTTGACTGACGTAGATCAATGCTCTAGCTCGACAGATTTTCCTCCAAATCGGATGATATTTTTACATTTGGAACGCGTCATATTTCGATTGAATAGTTTGTCTTAATATCTCCTTTCCGCCTCGGTGGTTAACAACTGGTGAATATACGGCTGCAGTGGCATAAACGAAAGTAAAAGGATGTGCAACACCTGAACACGAAAAAATACAAAACAAAATCCCGATGCGTTGCAAGATTCTTACAAAGACAAAACTTACAACTACATTCTTTCAATTCTTTTTCAATTATCATTCTAGTGGTACAAGCAGCACTCGTGTTGCTGACTTGCTATAAATAGCGGTACCTGCCTCGTGCTACATGAGCATCGCAAAAGGCTGCACTATCTTTCTTTCCATTGTTTCCAAACCCTTTACCCTCTCTCTCTCTCTCTCTCTCTCTCTCGAAGAAACTCGAGGACCATGCATGGACATTCATCACCCTCCCTCACTCCAAGAAAACCACGAGACGCCCCCGCCACAGCCCCAGCACTCTCTCCCTCTCCAAGTAAAAAACATTTGCTAACTCCTCCATTGTCAACGGTCCAGCGCCGGCGGACAAAAATCGCAAAGATCGAAGACCCGAAGGATCGCTCCAAAACACTCTGTAAGAGGCGCAAGGGCCTCTTGAAAAAGGCCTCCGATCTCCACGAACTCACCGGCGCTCACGTCGCCCTCGCCATTGTCTCCACCAAGGGTGAGCTCCGCTGTGTCTGCAAACCCTCGATCACGGAGATAATCTCTGCCTACCTCTGTCGCGAGGGCGACGTGATGCCGACGGAGGGTCTGGGAGAGTGGCTGGACTGGGCGGAGAAAGAGTGCAATTCCTGCACGACAAAGGAGGACTGCGCCTCCTTGATCATGAAGTACCAGGTTATTCTCAACTGTCTGCGCAAGAAGTTGATGGATTTGGGGAACAACCCATCGGTCAAGGTCGTCGCTGGTGATGATTATGGAGTTGGAGTTGGTCGTGATTCCAAAGTTTTGAACGATGACGAGATCGATTCACTTAAAAAGAATTTCGCAGCTTCTCATCCTCTACTTTTTGCTTTCTTCAAGAACTACGCCCATGATGTTGATTTTCACAATCTCTTGACTTCTCCGGTCAACTCAGCCGCAGGCGGTGAAAGTTCGGAAGTGGATTCCAACCCCGCGTGCTCCGATCTTGAGGGTCATGGGTTAGATCCTGACGACCTTCTTGGAAGCTCAGGAGAGAAGTTCGTGCACTCCCATCTTAAGGGCTGTGAAAATAATGACGACCACTTCTTTGCTGCACTGGAAGATTTGAATGTCTCTTTGTGATATAAATAATATAAACACACACACACACACACACATACATACATACATACATGTATGTATGTATGTGTGTGTGTGTGTGTGTGTGGGGTTTCTCGTCATGTAGAATAGCATAGAATATGAGAGTTTTTAGTCATCCCCAACCCGATGTAACTACTTTTTTCCTACTCTGTTTTCCCTTACATTAAGTCGAATTTTATAATTCAAGATGATTTCTTTACTTTCGTAATTTTAACGGTGTCACATTGGGCGTTAATAGTATTTGTTTTTGCACAAATTAGAAAGTTGAAAATACCATATTCGGTGATCTAAGGAAAATCCGAAGAGCTCAAAGAAAGGGCTTCGATGAGATAAGAGCCCAAAGGGAGACTTCTTGTTCTTTGGGCCTTTGTTGACAAGTCTGTAACCGAGTTGGCTTTTCTGCCGCATTTGAACAACTTGGATATTTCGGAGAAATGGGCCAACAGGGACCTGATATATGTGCTTTTTCTTGTTGAACTGCATTGTAAAGGAGAGATTATTAGATAATGGGTTTCAACGCTGGTTGTTCAGTTTTCTAGTTCAGATCATATCCAATACACGTTCGGATTTGTTTGATGTTAAGTTGGCAATGGATCTTCTGCATTTTCTTTTGGCTTGTGATTTCTGGGGCTTTCATTACCCCTTTTTTTTCTCCCGGAAGTGGACCTTTGGAGAGAGACGACTGTGTTTGTCACGGTCTTCCTATCGAAGGATCCAAACATCCGTTCCCTTGTCTGGACGTTGAAATGCCATATTTATATTCCGAAATAAGCCAATGCAGAGATGAGAGTTGTATCTGTCCAAGTAAATGTTCAATTTGTAAAGTATGAAAAAGAAATTTGCAACCTTGAATAGGTTCGGAACCATTTGCCATTCAATATGATTGTGTTTGTCACTGTCTTACAGTTTTTATAAACTGTCAAAATTACATGATACCCCCCAGTCCAAATACTCAAATTCTTGTGCTAGCATGAATGTACACACAAGCTGATTCAGCTTCTTCGAAAAATTAAAAGATTCAGTCTCATCCTCTTTCATCCCTCTCAAATTGCAGCACTGACTTCACAACTTGCTCTTATTCCATAATAACTAGTAGATGCAGAATCGGGGAAGAAGAAAAAGCAGAAGAAATTCAAATACAATCACTCCAAGAACAGAGTTTCCAAGAATCAGCCAACCCAAAACCCACCTGCAAACAAGCCATCGAGTTGATTTCTTTGTAGGCCTCCCACTCTCACTCAATTAAAGTCGTCACAATGAGATGACAACTCGTTCGGAACAAGGTTGTGGACATTTCTTCTGCATTGGCCATCTCTGATCAGAGCACTGAGCTTCCAGGTATGGTCAGGGAGTGCCATGGCCTTGCTGAGAAATGCATGGTGCATTCCTGTGGTGGGAAGCTATATATGCAGATCCATTTGGACATGGTCCTGACAAAGCTCCATTGCCATGTCAAAAATCTCTCTGGGATGTGCAAAACTAATTTTTTTTCCTCATGGTTATGCCATTGTTGTCTAAAAGCCCAGGTTTGGGGCTTGTAAGGAGGACATGAGGTTTTATGTTAAGGATTTGTGGACAAGGACGAAAATTGAGGAAGACCCAGAAATGAAGAGGCAAGCTCTGGCTAGTTTGCACGAAGTTGCGAATGAAGATGAGAAATTTGTGGTGGTGGTCATGGAAGTTGGTGAGGCAATTCACCCCTTGGTCAGCTTTCTTGATTCTCTGGAGGTGGAAGTTAGGCTGCAAGAGTGCTCTCAGTGGCTACAGGGTTTGATTCATGCAGGGTTATCTTGATCACCTGATCTGCTGCCACTTATCGATGAGAAATTTAAGTTCTTGGCCACTTTAGCAGAATGCTTCATTAGTGTTTCTACTAGCCCTCACGATAAACTTAACCGAAGGTGAGGGTTACTGCATAAGCTGCTTTCTATACTTGTACAAATTAGCGTTCCTTGACATTCCTTGGTTTTGTGGTTTCGACCATCTGGTGGAAACACTAGGTTATGATTGAAGTTTACTTGATTGTAGATTCATGTAGCTAAAGCATAATTTTCAAGGGTATTTTGTCTTCCCATCTGCAAGAAATCATGGTTTAGAAGGCTAACAGTTGACAGCGTGGTTCTGGGGCTGATAATTGCAAATGTTGCTGTTTTTATGCTGTGGCAGATTGCTGATCGTAGTTTTATGATGAAAAACTTTCCAATAAGATCTCTGTCCTAGAACTAAAGGTATCCAATAAAACCAGACCTGATGGCACTGGTCTAAATTATAAATTTTCATTTCTTAATTCAGGTGAGTCTATGATTCTTCGGTGCAGATTCCCTTAGGTGCTGCATGAAAACCATTCTGGTTCTGTCCAGAACTGGTTTTTTGTTCCCAGAATCAGTTTTGGACCAGAAACCCGTTTGGTAACGCAATTTCATTTTTCTATTTCCGGGACAAGTTTGCTTCCAAAACTGATTCTGAAACCAGAAATGAGAACAAAAAAAAAGTTGGTTTTTCATTTCTGGAACAAAAGTGAGAACCATTTCTGAGGAATTCATTTTCTTCAACACATATATTCATATGGAAGTCACGATCTTTGAGGTGAGAAAAAAAAGCAAAAAATCAAAAATTTCAAAACTTAACAGAATGGTTTAGAATCTGTGGCTACCCACTTTCAGTGAAATTTAAATTTTTTTAGGTACCGAAAAAAATAAATAAAAATAAAATATTTCAAAATTTCACAAAATGGCTTAGAAAACCTATGGCCACCCACTTTGAGCAAAATTTAATTTTTTTAGTTGCCAAAAAAAATAAAAAATTCTAAAATTTAAAAACTTCGCAGAATATCTTAGAATACCTGTGGCCACCCACTTTAAGTGAAATTTAAATTTTTTTATATGCCAAAAAAAATAAAAATAAGCAAAAAAGTAAAAATTTCAAAACTTTACAGAATGGCTTAAAATACCTGTGGCCAACCACTTTGAGTGAAATTTTATTTTTTTAGGTGCCGAAAAAAATAAAAAAAAGAAAAAATTTCAAAACTTCACAAAATGGCTTAAAATACCTGTGGCCATCCACTTTAAGCGAAATTTAAATTTTTTTAGGTGCCGAAAAAAATAAAAAACTAAAAAATAAAAAACTTCACATAATTGCTTAGAATACCTGTGGCCACCCACTTTGAGTGAAATTTAATTTTTTTTAGGTGTCGAAAAAAAAAATAAAAATAAGCAAAAAAGAAAAATTTTCAAAACTTCACATAGTGGCTTAGAATACATGTGGCCATCCACTTTGAGTGAAATTTAATTTTCTTTAGGAACCAAAAAAAATAAAAAAAAATAAAAAATACCATTTGGGCATCTAAAAAAAATTAAATTTTACTCAAAGTGGGTGGCTAGAGGTATTGTAAGTCATTCTGTGAAGTTTTGAAATTTTTGATTTTTTATGTTTTTTTTCATCTAAAAAAATTTAAATTTCACTCAAAGTGGATGGCCACATGTGTTCTAAGTCATTCTGTGAAGTTTTGAAATTTTTGATTTTTTGCTTTTTTTTCACCTCCAAAAATTAAAATTTCACTCAAAGTGGGTGGCCACAAGTATTCTAAGCCATTCTGTAAAGTTTTGAAATTTTTGAGTTTTTGAATTTTTTTGGCCACCTTAAAAAATTTAAATTTCACTCAAAGTGGGTGGCCACATGTATTCTAAACTATTCTGTGAAGTTTTAAAATTTTTGATTTTTTGATTTTTTTTGGGCACCTAAAAATATTTAAATTTCACTAAAAGTGGGTGGCCACAGGTATTCTAAGCAATTCTGTGAAGTTTTGAAATTTTTGATTTCTTGATTTTTTTTGAAAAAATTCAACAAATTTCCTATTTTCCCGAAATCTAAATTTTTTTTATTTTCTCGACATTTTGATGATTTTTTCTGGAATTTTTCAATTTTTTGGGATTTTCTGAATTTTTTTAAAGATTTTTATGAATTTTTCGGATTTTTTATTATTTTTATTCCATTTCTAAAAAAATGGATTTTTGTTCCTGGAAATAGAATTTTCTGTTGTTTATCAAACGGGTTTTTATTTCAGGAAATAGAAATTTTGTGCTGTTATCAAACGGGTTTCTATTCTAGAAATAGAAATTTTTTGTCATTATCAAACGGGTTTTTTTTCTCAGAAACTCATATAGGAATCAGAAATAGAAAAATCTATTTCTGGTTCAGGAACTCATTCCGGAACAGAATGGTTATCATTCGCTACCTTAGACAACTTTAAGAGCGGTTGTCTGCACATGCTGATAACTTCTTTCGATCTATAACATGATTGGACTTTACTTTTTGGGGTACAACATATGACCTTTTCATCTCCTTATTTCCTTTGAGATAAGATGCCTTTTTCCCTTAAATGTTTTAGTTTTCCTGACCATTTAATGCTCCTGTGTATTTAAATTTGGAGAACTGCTTATATTCATTCTTGATAAGAAAGAAGATTAAAAGAGAATGGTATTTGTTCTCTTATAATGGTATATGAAACAATGTACATGAGAAGCCTTTATATAGGCTTAGAGGAGTAAATGAGCCTAGCATTCTTCCTATGTGAGACCAAAGAGAAAGAAGAGATGTAAAGGAAAACCTACAAAACTATACAACATGTTCTAACACCCCCCTCAAACTCAAGGTGGATCAAATAACGAGAGTTTGGAAAGAAGAAATTTAAATCGTTGTGATGTAAGAGCCTTCGTAAAATAATCGGCAAGTTGATTTTCAGTTCCAACAAAAGGAAGTGAAATAGTGCGAGCTTGGAGATGATGACGAGTCAGATGACAATCGATCTCAATATGTTTGGTACGCTCATGAAAGACTGGATTTGCACCGATATGAATGGCACTCTTGTTGTCACAATGCAGAGGAGTAGGATCCAGAAGTGAAACTCCCATATCAGCAAGTAAGCGGCGAAGCCAAACAATCTCAATAGTAGTGTCGGCCATAGCACGATACTCGGACTCTGTAGAGGAGCGTAAGACAATATGTTGTTTCTTGGAACGCCAAGAAATAAGTGAATGCCAAGAAAAATGCAATAACCAGTGATAGATTTGTGATCAGTGACATTGAAAGCTCAATCAGCATCAGAATAGGCACGCAACTTGAGAGCAGAAGAAGATGGTAGAAATAAGGAACGCGATAAAGTGCCTCAAAGATAGCGCAGAATCCTTAGAACAGCTGCATAATGAGTTGTTCGAGGAGTAGTAACAAACTGACTGACAACATGAACAGCATAGGCGATGTCGGGTCGGGAGATAGTAAGATAAATAAGACTGCCAACCAAGGTCCGATAGCGGGTGACATCAGAAAGAGGTTCTCCATCGTCTGGCAAAACTTCTGATTGAGCTCAATAGGAGTGGTAGCAGTACGTGAATCTGATAGAGCAGCCTTGGACAGAATATCAGCGGTATATTTCTGCTGAGAAATGAGAATACCACGTGAACTGCGAGCAATCTCAAGCCCAAGAAAATAGCGCAGTGGTCCTAGATCTTTCATGGCAAAATGTTGCTGAAGGTGCTGCTTGGTATGCTCAATATGGTCACGATCATCTCCGGTGATGACCATATCATCAACATAAAGAAGAAGAATAGTGCAGCCTGAAGAAGAGGTATGGACAAACATAGCATGATCAGCCTCACTTTGAATGAAACCAGCAGACTGAATAGCATCACTGAACTTCTCAAACAAAGCACGAGGGGCCTGTTTGAGACCATAAAGAGCCCGTCGCAAGCGGCAAACCTGTCCAGAGGTATGAGCAAGACCAGGCGGAGGTTGCATAAAGATATCTTCCTGAAGATCACCGTGAAGAAAATCATTCTTCACATCAAGCTGAAAAAGAGGCCAACTGCGAATTGAAGCAACAGCTAATAAAGCACAGACAGATGCCATCTTTGCTACGAGAGCAAAGGTCTCCTCATAGTCGATACCATACTCTTGCGAGAAACCTCGAGCAACCAGACGAGCTTTGTAACGCTCAATACTGCCATCAGAACAAGTCTTAATCTTATATATCCATCGGCAAGATACGAAGGAGCGACCTGGAGGAAGAGGCACAAGCTCCCAAGTACCAGTACTCTCCAAAGCCGAGAGTTCCTCAGACATAGCCTGGCGCCATTCTACATGCTGAACTGCCTCGCGATAACTATTAGGTTCTTGTACAGCATGAACAGCAGCTAAAAAGGATCCAAACTCAGTAGAATAAGAAGTAGCAGCAACATACCGGGCAGGTGGACGCCGATCTCGAGGAGGATTACGGCGTGGCTCTAGTTGTGCAGAATCGTTGAGGGCAGATAGAGCAGGAGGTGCAGTACAAGGGATAGGTGAAGATGGAGAAGGTGGCAATATATCTAGATCCGATGTAGAAGAGGGACTAGAAGGGTCAGGTAGAGGATCAACAGGAAAATCCATAAATGGAATAGGAGACGAAACATGAGGTGTAGTATTTGTCGGAAAGAAAGGGATGTGTTCATGAAACGTAACATCACGAGAAATACGTACACGTCGCGCATTTGGGTCATAACAACGATAACCTTTGTGCTCAGTGCTGCAACCCAAGAATGCACATGGGATAGAGCGGGCGGTAAGCTTTGTACGTTCAGTTAGTGGAAGAATGACAAAACAAGTACATCCAAAAACTCGAAGATGATTATAGCTAGGAGGTCGAGAGTAGAGACGTTGAAACGGGGTGTCTTGATGGAGAACAGATGAGGGTCGGCGATTAATTAGATGAACAGCCGTGAGAAGAGCCTCAGCCCAGAACTCAGTGGGAACGGATGTGCCAAGTAAGACAGCACGAGTGGTCTCTAGAATATGACGGTGCTTGCGTTCAGCAACTCCATTTTGAGCTGGAACCCCAGGACAAGATAACTGAGGAAGTGTACCATCATTAGCTAAGAGGGAACGAAAGACACCAGAGAGATATTCTCCCCCTGAATCTGAACGAAAAACTTTGATTTTTGTATTAAATTGTGTGGAAACCATGGAAGTAAAAGACTGATAGATGGTAAAGAAATCACTACGTTGACGCATAAGATAGACCCATGTATAACGAGAATAATCATCAATAAAAGATACATAATATTTGAAACCACTCTTGGAAGAGAGCGGGGCAGGACCCCAAACATCAGAATGAACAAGATCGAAGATCGCACTAGTTGTAGAGTTACTAACAGGAAAAGGCTTAGCAGATTGCTTGGCCAAAGGGCAGATAGAACATGGAGGAAGACTACCAGAAGAAATAGGACCCAAAGCACCTTGATGGTGAAGGACGGTGAGACGAGAAGACGGAATATGTCCAAGACGCTGATGCCACCGAGCAAGATCGAGGGTAGCCAACACAGGATGAGGAAGAGAGGAAGTTGGAAGATGGAGATGTTGCATAATATAAAGTCCATCCCATCTACTGCCCCTGCCAATCATCTTGCCACTCAAACGATCCTGCACAAAGCAAGAGCTATTTGTAAAGCTTACAGAACATTCAACATCGGTGAGTTGTCCAACAGATAATAAATTGAGAGCCAAAGAGGGAACATGTAACACATCAGGGACATTGAAATCTTCAGAGACGGTAAGAGTACCCTGTCGGGTAGCTAGTAGAGGAGAACCATTAGCAGTAAAGAAATGTGCTGGTTGCTTGAGCTCAGAGAGCTTAGTGAGAAAAACAGCGGAAGTAGACATATGTCTAGCAGCTCCTGAGTCAAGTACGCAAGTAGTAGAAATATCACCTGAAGGTGGAGTAGCTGCAGCGGTGCTTCCAGCAGATGAGAGAGATGTAGAAGTACCAGAATTGGGAAAAGACCTGGGTAGAGAAGGACTCAATCGGGTAAGTTGGGCCTCAAGAGCAGCAATACGGTCATCCGTAGAGGGAGAAACCAGAGTAATAGGTTGAGAGATTGGAGATGCGGTAGTGACTCGTGGTGATGCAGAAAGACGTGAAGCATTCCTCTTCTTCCAACAATGTGACTCGTCATGACCAGGACGATGACAATATGTACATGAAAGGCGGTGAGGACCACGAGTAGGCGAAGGACGTGGTGGAGCAGCCAAAATAGCAGTTGAATCAGGAACTGTCGATGAGGAAAGAAGACCAAGACGAGTTTCCTCAGACTGTAATTCTTTGACAGCGTCAAGGAGGGATGGTCTTGGAGAGCGGTGAAGAAGTTGGCTGCGAACACCTTCATAGGGAGAGCCGAGCTTCATAAGAAAAGAATGTAGACGGTGCCTATCTTGAGTCTGAAGCCGAGTAGATGGACACCGAGTACAGTTCAGGCATGATGGGCAAAGAATAGGAGCAAGAATATCCAGTTGACTCCAAAGTGAGTGCATGTAATTGTAGAAATCTCGAATAAAGCGAGACCCTTGCGTAGCACTGTAAACTTCTTGCTCCAACTGATAAACTCGAATGTCCCCTGTCTGGGTGAACATCTCGGCAAGTTGATCCCATAAACTTTTCGCCTCAACAACATTAGAAAATTGTGGACGAAGAGCAGGATTAATGGAACCAAAAATGATAGCCCATGCCTTCCGATCAGCAACTTTCCATGCTCGAATTTCAGCGGCACGTTTCGTAACTTCATCAGATGAGTCACTTTTAAGAGCACCAGGACAAGGACAAAGTCCTTCAACATGCTCAAATAAGTCGCGGTAAACAAGTGCTGCCATTGCCGATGGTTTCCAAAGAGAATAGTTTGAACCATCGAGTTTGACGTCAATACGGTCACTAGAATCACCCATGACGACAGAAAAAGAAATCACTAGCAAAGCTAGAAATATGGATTGAGGTGATCGAAAGGATTGAGAAAGAAGAAACGCGGATTAGAACGAGCAAGGATGATGGCCCAAAAACCCTAAACTCATTATCTTAATTTCTGATGCGGAAGATTCAATTTATGGCAACCGCAGAGCATACTTTAAAAAATAATGAGCTCATTGTCTTAATTTCTGATGCGGAAGATCCAATTGATGGCAACCGCAGAGCATACTCTTCAAGACAATGAACCTGGCTCTGATACCATGATAAGAAAGAAAGATTAAAAGAGAATGGTATTTGTTCTCTTATAATGGTATATGAAACAATGTACATGAGAAGCCTTTATATAGTCTTAGAGGAGTAAAAGAGCCTAGCATTCTTCCTATGTGGGACCAAAGAGAAAGGAGATGTAAAGGAAAACCTACAAAACTATACAACATGTTCTAACAATTCTGAAGCTTTATCAATAGAAAGACTCCGACTTTTATGCATTTCTCATGCAAGGATGGCCAGTTTTCTGGTGGGGCAGATAGAGAGAGATTTCTTTCTCTTTTGTTTATGTTTATCATGGGGACCTTTTTCTTAAATATGTTAGGTATAATTGGACCATTTGTGGTCTTGTGCCTCAGCATAAGCAAGCAAACTACTTTGGTGGTTTGATTTTTCTATTTGATGGATAATATCCCACATTCTACTTTTTTCTAATTAATTATGTATCTTTCAATCGGTTGTACGGTTAGATTGGGAGAAATTTTGGACCAGAATTTAAGATATTTGAAAATTGTGAATGATTAGTCTTTAGTTTCATAATATTTCCAACAAGAGAAACGGATTTTCGATTTATAGTGCATTTGAATGTTTCCAAAAGTTCAACGAGCACATAAGAAAGAAAATGAGTCATTCCCATCTCACATAATGACAATGGAAATCGATCAGGTTATCGACGTAAAAGTTGCCAAAGAAAGATATCCACCGGTCAAAGCTTCTCCTTGTGTTATCAATGTGTAAAGCACTTTAACAAGACCAACAGTGATAAAATTCGACTATTCAAGTCCTTAAACCTGCCAGATTCCTAAAGAATCTTACTCCATCTTTTTCTTAAACCCAGCTTGTTCCTTAGTAGACTTCTTTAATCTCATTCCGCATGCTCCATAAGATCTCATCCACCATCAACTGTCCTCCCTTATCAAAGAGTCTCTTTCCACTGACCTCTCCTAATGATCCAGACCAGAACGAAGAAAGCCATAGCGATACCTTGCGAACCTGCTGAACACGTAAAAGTTAAGGGTTTGAAGGAACGAAATAACCATTTCACGATTTGCCTTTTCTCGTGGCAAAAGGACACTATAAGTGCCATAACTTGTGTACGGCGCTCACTTTGGTGCCATAACTTTTTTTCGGATCACTTTGGTGCCAAGTCGGAGGAAAAACGATCACTAAGTGTCATAACTTTTTTTTGGATCACTTCAGTGCTAAAATTTTTGAAAAACGATCACTTAAGTGCTAAAATTTTTGAAAAACGATCACTTAAGTGCCAATCTCCGGCGAGACTCCGGCGAGCCACGTCAGCTTCAGAAATTAATAAAAAAAATGCCACGTCAGATTTCCGGCGAAAAATTATGTACGGCACCGGAGTTGGCACTTAAGTGATCGTTTTTCAAAAATTTTAGCACTTAAGTGATCGTTTTTCAAAAATTTTAGCACTAAAGTGATCCAAAAAAAAGTTATGGCACTAAAGTGAGCGCCGTACACAAGTTATGGCACTTGTAGTGTACTTTTGCCCTTTTCTCGTCATTTTTCTCTCTACCTTTCCTTTTTTATCTTTTTGTATCGACAAGATGCTCAAAATTGCCCTTGCTCTCAACCTTTCCATTCTTCGATGTGAACGAGTGATTTCCTTCGCATGCATGTGGCCTTTCATCATGTTGAATCGGATTTCAACAACATACCAACAAGATTGAGAGCAAAACAGATAGGAGAAGCAAAGAGCCCGACAGAGCTGAAAATTGCTTGAAAATACGTTGGAGAGCTCATTGAATGGAGAAGGACCGAAGAGATTTTAACTCTTAACTGATTTGCAGTCCACTCCAAAAGTATACAGTTCCACAGTCCTAGTCTTCCACAGGTAAAACAGATCAACTCAAGTTCATTATGAGAAGAACGAGACAAAGCTCATGAAACTAGGAAAATGTGATTTCTTTCCACCACAATGTCTAAGAAGTTTAAAATCTCAAGTGCAGAGACCAGAGTCATAGCGATAACTCAATCCATATTACATCACATGTGAAATAGGGCAACATATTGCCCGTATCCCATCAGTTTCAACTGTAACTTATCAAACTGATCTAGCAAAGCCAAGATCAAAATCCAAAAGGAAAGAAGCCACGAGTCTATAGTCATAGCAGATTCTAGAATTACGTCGGATATGAATTTACAGGATCCCATGAAACCGATAATTGAAGGCGCAAAACAACTCGACGCAAGTGAGGATGACCATTTATTACCATTGGGACAGGGGGCTCCTGCACATCTTCCTGGGCCACATGGGGACCCGCTCTGCTGCTCCGAGGAGCTCTGGTCAGGAAGCTGCTCCGAGGAGCTCTGGTCAGGAAGCTCCTCCAGACTCCTTCCTCCACCGCCTGGCACACGGGGCACTGCATCGCGTTCGCGGCATTGAAAACCGAGCCAGGCAATCTGAAACAGAAACAATCGCAAAAAGCAAAAAAACGATTCATCACCAGAAATAACACCGAGAGGGCTCAACTTGAACGAGTACACGACAGTGCGAGGCATAAACTAGAACACTACTGCCGATGAGTATCATAATTTGCTAGGTCTAGGCCTGATGAGTATTCAATAAGGCTAGTGAGATTGACAGGAATTACCCGGAATGATGATTCTGTAGGGTTCATCAACGAAAACAACGCAGCGGAATATAGAACCCTAGACAGGATCCATGTGTATATTGAAATCGAGACGGAAGTTCGATACGTACCTTTTGCAAATCGAAGATAAATCGGCAGCCGATTGTGTCTGGATTAGCGCCCCAAGTGTTGCGCCTCTACCGGTATCCACACACACGAACGGAATTCTCCAACGATCTACGTGCTAGCGAAAGATCTTGAAGTTCCTTTTTGTTGAACGCCTTTTGCTTTTCGATACTCTGTCGAAAAAACCCTAGACAGAGAATGATTCTCTATCTATTTATACAGCCTCATTATCTAGCGGAATTAAAAGAAGTGGGCCGGGCTATTTGGGCCCGCCAAACTGTCCACCTTTAATCGTACGTTTAATCGTTATCTCATAACGCGTACGACCGCATAGATAATTTAAATAGGACAATAAATTAAAATTTACTTCTTAAGTAGATCAAGGCGCATAGACAATATTAAGTCCGTTCGCTATTGTGTGCGACCCTGTAGGTTCACTAAACATTAGCAGTGTGCCCAAAATTCTTTTGGCCCACAAGTCATAAGCGGTCTCTAGCAACACATTATGACTACCTAAGTATAGTGAAGATCGGTTTTCCGACACAACCTAATCCACAACTAATATTAGAGTATCAACCTTGATTGATTCTTAGGGCAGACCTCTAACAATTCATCATCAGGACATCAGGGTCGAAGTACGTATTGAGCCAGCGTGTCGACAATACCACTTTTGCTATATATTTCTATATTGACAAATTGTATGATAGAAAATTGTATTGTGATGATATTACATCAAAAGAAGAAACTTCATTTAATCACATCAGATTCAATTACTAACCATAATGCTTCTACTAATATTTAGTATAGCATAGAATTATATAACACAAGATGTTATAACTAAGACCGATAGGTCTATAACTCTCTCCCAACTCGTTTCGGAATATTAGAACAACATGAACAATTGAGGGAGACATACATATGTAAGCCCTTTTGCTTAAAAAAATAATGGAACATCCGAGTTAAGTGAAAAGAAAAGCTAAAGAACGATATTGACTACACTTGATGTCTTCCCAACCTAGATCCAGCTGCAATTAGTTAATTAGACTTGTCATGACAATAGCTCGATGAGATCAAGCTGCATGAATTAAACCTTACATTCGCAATGATTGATGAATCTAAGTCACGTGACTAGTAGCACTTTTAATTAATGTAGATACTTTTACTTTTTGACAACTATAGATAATGATGTGATAGGAATTGAATTGGACAGCCAAAGGTAAGTCTAAACAAGTTAACCAATCTTGCAGTCATCAACATCGCAAAAAACAAGATGTCGTGCAATATTTCACGTCACTTGGCCATTCACCACAAAGTTTCAAACCAAGCCATTGATATTGGTCTTCGAAACCCAAATCCCTTATGAGCTCGAGATCATTGATATCAAGTCATGGCAATCTTGATATGTCTAGATAGCCAACAACACTATTGAATCTAAGTTAACATGAATGTATCGATTATGTCAGCTCAGTCCTAATAAATATTAAGATCATCTAAAGATGAATCGACAGGTTCAATTTTATACCATAAGATAGAATGCGACATCTATACTCACTCAGCAAGAAACTTCATGCACACGTATAGTGCTAATATTGTAATCTCTCTCCAAAACCAAAGATGAAGGTAACCAAAGATATGTGATTCATTAATTCAATGTGAAAAAAATAACAACTCAAATGTGCAAATAACACTGCACAAAATGTAATGCCCAATGTATTTCAGCATATGAAGCTTATAGAGAGGAATCACAATGATAATAATCGAAAACTAGATACAAAGATACAATCAAAGTGATCCAATTAATATGTATTTGGTCTAGTTGAAGTTCTTAATGGCCACTGCACCTAACACCATTGTATACCATCATTGATCATAGGATTTCTTGATTTTACGTTAACTATGGTACTTCATGATAAGCAAATACTAGGTATTGTCTTTTCTACACATCCTCATCTATCACCATTGATATGGTGGTTAGTTAATTGCTACAAATCAAATTACCCTAATCAACGGTGAAGGATGTTTTTGTTAAAGAGAAGTACACAGATCATATAGTTAATACAAGTGCTTACATAATATGTTTTGTTCAGTATGTAAGTATAAGTGCCAATTTGTAATATGGGTTATAAGTATATGGGCAATTGGGTTTGACACGAGCTTAGCATAAAACCCACGTCAAGAAGCATGTATCTCAATCATAATTCTACTACAACTATATGCACTCTTTATTAAAAAATACAGTCAATGTCACGCCCCGAATCCCATCGAGCGCGCAACACACTTCCCTGGTCGATTAATGCGACATCCCAGGGTATCGCCGACCAAATTTCATTTTATCAGAGATTTAAAATGATCAGCGGAAACCACAAATACCCGAACAATTAAAACTGGGGTAATCAGGGAGAATGCACATATTCATTTCTCATTATCAAACTTATAAAATATTCACAATTTACAACCGCCATATACATATGCACACCGTACTATAAACCACCGACATCAAAAGGATCGATAGTTTGGATACCCTATCTTCCAAAAATGGAACATTCCAAAAGAGTTACTATGACCCTAAAACTATCCCTGACGCCCGCTAGACGGCGTCCACTCCGATTCCGTCTCCTCGGAATCTAAGTATGAATCCCTCTGAACCTTTGCTCGTCTGTTGGGTACTCTACCACGTTATGGTCGATGTGCATCGGTATCCCAAACGCTGCGGCGGCGGAGGAAGATTCATTGCTCAGGCCGGGGTTCTGAAATTGTTGGTTGAAACAACCATGAGATGACATCTCAATAAGCACACACCCTAAACCCCACCTAGGCTATCACGTACCGCCAGACGAAACACACATAACACACAACGTTTAATCATACTCACAACACATGCGCTCCTACCTGAAACCCATCATGCACGTCCCTACATGTTAGATAACAATACAGCCCACATTCCACAGTAATGCATCACAGCCGCGCGTGTGCCTCGATTATAAGGCCAAACCCACTTGGGCACGTCCCATACCATGCCTAGCAGTTTTTACCCCATAATCGAGCACCACAATACGCGATACCAACCACACTCGCACACGAACTCACGCCATGCGCCAATTCTCGCAATCCTCACAAGTCAAGCCAAGTCCAGCTCATTCCCAACTTTTCCACCACTACCGTGCCTGCGTAAAACGCATCAGGCCAACGGTCTTCTGACCTCGTCAGACATCGTCACCCCATCGGGCCGGGCATCGTCACCTCGTCAGGGACGGCATCGTCCCGCGTAAACGAACACGCCTCAGGACGGATCCTACATTCTCAACTTTCCTTCTCTACCGCGCCCGCGTAAAACGCATCAGGCTAACGGTCTTCTGACCTCATCAGGCATCGTCACCCAGTCGAGCCGGGCATCGTCACCTCGTCAGGGACGGCATCGTTCCGCGTAAACGAACACGCCTCAGGACGGAACCTACCCCGCGTAATGGTACCACCTCAGGGATTTCCATAATCACGCATGCCACACCACACACAATTTCTTACTCATTCACAAGCCCAACATTCACTTGCTACTAAATTGGCCAATCACACGCGACCCGTGCACACATCAATTCACACCCGATTCTCATGCTCAATAAGCATTCAATACGGCCAATTGACAATTAATTCAATTCGGCCCGAGCGTGCACATAACGACCAGCATTTCAAGCAATCAAGTCACAATTCAACAAACATACAAGGCCGCTAACGGGCCCACAATCACAGCCAAGACCATAGCATAATTTCGGCATTCCCAAGCTCATTTCCAACCATATTAAACACCACAATCCAGCCACACTACCACACACCAAACCGACACCATTTGTCCTTAAATCGAGCCCTAAGCTCGTCAATTCCATCCCACTACGTCCGGCACTCTATTCAGTCTCACTCCAGTCCCGAAACATCCTCATTTCATCCTCAAATCAACTCATATAACACACATTCAAGCATCAATTCCAGTCACGAGGGCAGCAACTATTCAACCTCGACACCCCCACCATTCCGCTCATAAAAATGAACATCCATAGAATCAGGGTAAATCTGGGCAGTTTACACAGTGACCGAAATCCCATCAAAATAAATAGTAAACGAACTTCAAAAATTCTAAATTTTGGATATATCATAAAAAACATCTTGATAAACATTTCTTATGAAGAACACGAAATCCGGTTCAATCTGCAACCATGCCTTTTTGTCCCTCGAAATCAGACCAAAATCAGTTCGCTCTAAAAGACTGTTTTGTCCTCAAAATACATTTCTTTCAACACCCATATCACCTTGAAAGGCTTTGAAATTTTTATATGTCATAGAAAAGAAAGTCGCCAACAACTTTTGTGAAGTAAGTTTATTGAAAATAGATCTGGAAAATTTTATAAAAATTCGACCGGACAAGAAGGTTGGGATGAACAGTGTTCCGGACAGTTTTAATACGGTCTGAAAATGGGTTTTCATGCGACCAAAATGGCTTCCAAAAATTCCAAATTAAAAATATGTTATACCTCAGGATGTTGAGAGCAAATTTCATGAAGAAAACTTCAAAATTCGGCCCACACAATTCTCCACAAAAATAGCAAACCGGACGGGTACAGTAACCGCGAATCCGAGAATCACACTAAACCTCAAGGATTCAAACCCTAATTGATTTCTACCGAATTTCAACTGCCAAAACTCATTCCACCATGT